ACTGGGGCAGCAAACACCAAATACATTTGTAACTTGCCTTTTCAAATGTAGAAAGTGCTGTCTGTCATTCAACAATTATAATGTTTTACAGAAAGAATAGGTTAGGACACTGTTTCATGAGTGACACTGGATACAGTTGTTCATGTTGCACATATCTTTCTTTTTCCCCTCTTCCTGAATGTCAATATGCATGTTACTGGTCTAATTACATGATAGCAAAGCATGGTCAACCAGAAGGTGGAGATAGATGCAAAGGACTGTGTTTCTGGAAGACTACATGTCTTGCTTTAACAGCAATAATAATAATAGTAATAGTAATGCTTTCCAAAATAAAATGTGAACCCTTGATTACTTCTGTTGCTGAATTCTGTGGTGTGGAGAGGGGACAAATTCACCAAAGTTGCCTACCCCTACCCTACTTTAAATGAAACTTGCCTGACTCCAGTGGGAATGTAAACAGTAATTTAAGTGATTTAACCTCTAGTTAGCACAAAGATGGCTTTGTTCTGAAATCTGAACAGAACCTTTCACCGCTTTGGCAGCCATCACATTTTGGCTTAATAAATAGAGAAATGCACCAGCCTTTTGCCCAGGTGTGCATTGCCATGTACTATGATGACTTGGTATGATTCAGTGGCTCAAAATTCTGCTATGCAGATCCACATTAACAAAGGGAATGACGACAGCAGTAGCAGCAAATGCCTGCTTCCTCTGGCTATGTTGAGGTTAATGTGACTTTGTGTGCCCCAAAATGGCCAAAGGAAATATTTAACCATTGATTTGCTGATGATGATGACATCATTTCCCTTGCTTGGTGCACATTGAGCTGTGCAGCAGGATTTCAGCCACAGTGGTGCAGTCACATGGTAATCACTCATGATATAGGTCATGGTATGAAAGGAAGAGCAAGACGGTGCTTACACAGGGGGAAATGCCCTGCTGATCTCTCTCTCTCTCTCTCTCTCTCTCTCTCTCTGTGTGTGTGTGTATTAGTCAAGATATTTCTGATCCTGCAGCTTTGAAATATAGAGGCCACATGTTCCACAGTTCAAGGCATTCTGAAGGCCTGTCCAGAGGGATGTGTGAGAAGTAGTGGAGTCAAAGGACATAGTCCAGTCTGATCTAGTTCCAGATAACTTTAGTTTGAAAACCATCTTGTTTAACTATAACATGCTGCTGCTACTTCCTCCTTCTCCTCCTCTCTGTCTCTCTCTTAAAATGCTGTGTTGACAGTTTCTGATCCAAAAACTGGGTTTATATCATTGTTGCATATTGGATGTGTTCCCACTAATGGCCACATGTGCAAACCTTATAAAACCACTGTATTAAATTGGCTTTTAAAGTTTGAAGCTGCCGCCTTCTTTTAAAACCGTGTTCTAATTTTTATAGCCTTTTCTTATATTACTTTATTCGGAAACATTTTGACTTAAACAATTGCATTCATTCCATATCAAAACACACACAGAGAGACCATTTGTGGTAGTCTCTGATTAGAACTGAGGGGCCCATAGAGTGTCCCTTACTTGGTTGAAAACTTCAGTTTTAAAAAGTTAACCATTTCTATGCATATAGAGAGATGCAATGTATTGGAGTTTGCTTTCTGTTTCTATGTGTTCCTTTTTTTCCTTTTAGCATTTGAAGTCAGAACTGTATTGTAGCTGACTGAAACTTTTGGCAGGTCTCCTGAAAGAAAAGGCAAAGATAAATTTTGGCTTAAGAGGAAGAAGAGTTAAATTACTTGTTGCTGAAGCAAAGCAGATGCTTTCGCTGGTGCTTTAGAGGGAGAACAGTCCAAGTGTGTGCAGCAAATGTCTTCAGTGAGGTTTCTGCCCAAAACCTTACACAATTTTTGCACAGAGAGAGAATGTACTCACAAGGGACCTGGCATATTATGAATAAAATAATGTTGTCTGCCCTTAGTCACTTGTAAACATGACTAATAAAAAAATTTTTTCTTTAGGTTTTGTTCAGTAACTAGATTTTTTTTGGTGTGTCTGGGAGAGTATCGACAGAAAGTGCAGATTGGGTATTGATTATAACATGATCACTTTCTGACACAGATTTATTCTTCTTCTTTGGAAAGTCCTGGAGTAGTGATCAGGTTCTTGCCTTCACTTTTTTTTTTTTTTGCAGAATTATGTACGTATAATAGATGTAGAAAAAAATTGTGTGAATGACAGTTGAAGGCAAAGAAGTGGAACATGTGGCTTATATCCCCCTTCACTTTTGTCCATCCTAGTCTGAGCTTATGGAGAGTTGTTATCCAATGTGAGTAGACCACACATTCCTTAAGCCCTGATTGTAGGCTTTCCACCATTTTGATCTGCCTACAGTTCCTAAAGAGAGAACAGGATTTTACCCATGTCTGGAAAAACAAGACAGCACCTTTGTAAGGGTAAATATGCTAAGAGATGAGGTAGTTCAATTTATGCAGTCGAGTGGGCAAAGTTCAGCCCTATAGATGTTGGACTCTTACTTCCCAGCAGCCTTTGACAACCTGGTGAAGAATGCTAGAAATTGCAGTCAGCACCCTCTGGGGGAAGGGTACACTTTGCCCAACTCCAAATGTTACACCCTCAGCTGATGATATTGAGTTTATGCATATTCCTTGATCACATCCAGTGAGCTGGCTACTTTTACCAAGAATAAGAGTATCTCCATGACCGGTGTGGGTCACAGCAGCCAGAAAAAGAATGCATGTATCTGCTGTTGTTGGCTGGGCTGTGACATGAAGTAATTGTAGGAAAGGAAGCTAGCTGTCTACCCATTGTGTCTACTAAACAGCGGTAACAAATATAATGGATGGGTGGTTTGTCCAGCTTGTGTTTGAAAACATCTGCAGTCAGATTTTTCTCACTTACTCGTTCCACTGGCCTTATCATTATTTCCCATTATAATCATGTTGATTTTCAGTTTTCCAGTAAATGCAGTTTACTAGTCCAAAGATCACACCAAATCATAGTTTCTGTCAGATCCACTGTTTCCCACTGCACATGTTGTAACAGATTATTTAGCGCTAAACACTTGGTTGCATATGTCATTCTATTTAAAGCATCCCTGCACATTTTTCCAATAAGTTCATGTTTATTCCCTTTTTTCTCTGTCTCCTTTTCTGGATCTTTTGTTAAAATGTCAGTTTTGTTGGCTTCTGTGAGTTGCAGCTGGTAGTGAACTGTGTAATTTGTCTTCTGTCCAGAATGGAAAATTATTGCTTGATTCATCTGGTTGATGTTCTGTTTGCTCCTAGCTCAATTCATTGTGATGGTTAATGTGTCTTAAAGATGTAGAAAATGTGTGCTTCTGGCTGATTCTTCCTTGATGCATATCCTTGCTTTTTCAGGGAACTGGAGTGATGGGTTTTGTGGCAGACCCCTCCCTAGTGAGATCTGCAGCCTCCTCCCTTATCATAGTAACCTGCTAGGTCAGGGGTGGGCAATTAATTTCTATAGGGGGACCACATGAAAAATCTGAACTTTGTTCGGGGGCCGAACCAACTTTACTTAAAAATAAAATGAAACAGTGATGTTATGGTTGTTTTTATTTTAAACTTGCTAATCCTCACTAATACTAAAGAGGTTTTTTTTGCGGTATGTTAAAGATAAGCAACTGATCAACTTTAGACAAAAAGCTGTAAATGGTTTTGATATTCAAAACTGTCTGCGGTCTGGACAGGAGCAGCTCGCGGGCCATATGTGGTCCTAGGGCCACACTTTGCCCAGGTCTGTGTTAGGTTATTGTAAGATTCCTTGGGAAGATGGCAGTTTTGAAAGGCAACTAAGAGTTGTGTTACATCAACAAACTCCCAACTTTTTAGCATTAAGCTGCCCACAGTAGACTAAACACTGAACTGTGGTATGTTCTGCTGTATCAAACACTTTGCAAACTTGGAATCAAGTATAAGTTCTGATAGCTTCACAGCATGATTTCAGAGTTATTGTTATGTGCCGGCAAGTTCTCACTGACCTTTGGCAATCTCAAGAATGAGTGATCTCCTAAATGTCCGGTTCTCAATAGCCCTGCTCAGTCCCTACAAAATCAAGCCTGTGGCTTCCTTTAGGGAGTCAGTCTATCTCATATTTGATCTTCCTCTTTCCCCAGTGCCTTCAGACTTTGGCTTTTCCAAAGAATTGTGCTTTCTCACGATCTGCCCAAAGTAGGACAAATAGGAATCCCATGTAGGAGTAAAATGTCATAATTAACTAGGAGTAAAATGTAATAATTTTTCAGCATATATAGGGCATGTCATGAGAATGGCTGATGGTCAGATTCCAAAGGATCTCCTGTATGGAGAATTAGTGCAGGGAAACCGCCCCAGAGGGAGACCACAGCTGCGATACAAGGACATCTGCAAGCGGGATCTGAGGGCCTTAGGTATGGACCTCAACAGATGGGAAACCCTGGCCTCTGAGCCTTCAGCCTGGAGGCAGGCGTTGCATCACAGCCTCTCCCAATTTGAAGAGACCCTTGTCCAGCAGGCCGAGGCAAAGAGGTAGTCCTGAAACCAGCAAAATCAGGGAGCTGGACATGGGACAGATTGTATTTGTCTTCAGTGTGGAAGGGACTGTCACTCTCAAATTGGCCTCCTCAGCCACACTAGACACTGTTCCAAGACCTCCATACAGAGCACGTTACCATAGTCCTTCGAGACTGAAGGATGCCTAATGAATGAGTATAACAGAACTAAAACAGAAGAGTTGTAGCACCTTAAAGATAAACAGATTTATTACAGTGTGAGCTTTTGTGGAATATAATCCACTTCTTCAGTTACATGTCTCAAAAAGCAGATTGTAACCCATTGAAGTGCACATGGAAATAAATCTGTTTGTCTTTCAAATGCCACAACTGTTTTGTTTTTGTTTTCATTGTACAAATGTAATAAAGAAGGTGACATTTCAGCTCCAGCAGTGGGATAATGGAAATGATCTAACAAGTCAGTACCTTCCTGTCTTCTGGCCTGGGTAACAATGCACACAGCATCCTATTGGCTGGTGTCCAGCCTATCATGAGCCGTATTGCCCCTCTCTAGCAACAGTATAAAAAGGCTCTGGGAAAACGTGCACAGTTCTTTTTCTGGCAGCTCTTCAAATGATAGCTCAACCTTTAAGAGCAGAAGGAAATCTGAAAAGACAAGAGAACAGGAGGGCAAGGTGGAAGAACAGATGCCAAGAAGCAGGGCAGTGAGACAACCCAAAGAAGTAAAAATCCAAGTCAACCTTTTCCAGCCAGATAGCCAGTATCCAAGGCAAAGCAAGCAAACAGAGACGGTTCGGACCAGACCAAGGACTGTTGGTTGACTGGCAAAATCCACAGTGACATGTCTGACAGTCAGTGTGACATGGAGAGCTCTGAGGAGCTTGAGCCACCTTGCCAGTCAAGAAGACCCAAAACGTCACGTTCTTGCCGAGCTGGTTTGATATTCCCTGTGAGCCGCATTGACCGATTCCTCAGGAGAGGAGACTATGCAGAGCGAATTGGATCAGGAGCCTCAGTTTACATGGCAGCGGTGCTTCAGTACCTGACATATGACATTGTCGATATTGCTGGGAACATTGCCGCAGGTGAATACAAGCAGCGAATTGCCCCCCAGCATATACAGCAAGCCATCAGCAATGATTCTGAACTGTGCTCTCTGCTTGGAAGTATTGCCTTCCCCCAGGGGAAAACGTTGCCCAAGAATCAGCCTGCCACATCATCCAGGAAGGGGAAGGGCAGGAAGTCTGGCAAGGCTGTAAGAGCCCATAGTGCAGTTGCTGCATAAACAAAAGTGATGCCATTTATGCTGGCTTGGATTGAAGACTTCTGGTACCCAGCCCTGTGGTCTAATAAAAGCTGCTCTGAAGATTAGTTCTCTGTTGTGTGAACGTATTTCTTTCCACATCAGTTGTGGGCAGTTGTGGGCAATTTTAGGCAAGCTGGCTCTCATTCTGATAGTGTGGCAATCCTAGAGTAATGAAGAACCTTACAGTCTCTACAGCAAAAGCACATTATGTAAATGTCATGTTGATATTTTCACGTGTCTTGTATTCATGAGCTCCTTCGTTTGGAGAAAGGCGGCACAGAAATGTAAACAACCAACAAATAAATAAATACTGTGTCTGTGTCCACCATTTTAGAGCAAGCATCCAGAATCTGGTTGCTTTTCAACACTGATGTTCATATGTATATTTTTGACTTCCTGATACCATTTCATTTCAAGCCACAATAGGGAACATACATTCCTTCCATGAGATGGATTGTGGGGGGCAGGCCTTCTGATTCATAGGGCAGATAAGGCCATGTGCTGCTCTCTCCTAATTCTATACTGAGGTAGTAAACTCAAAAACCTGTGACTTCATAAAAGTCAACATTTCCCCTTCATTAAGGAATCTCTGGATAGGATTGTGGTGGTTTGTTTAACCCTGAAGCCTTGTCTTCATTGATTGCTACTTGAAACTGATTTCAGTTAGTCCCAGACCATTCTTTCCTTTGTGTCAGAATTCTACAGAATGTGGTGTATCACTTAAGCTTCTACTGTTGCATCTGGGATTGAGAGAGTGAACATTATTTAACCCTAAAATTCTTATTCTTCCAGGATTAAGCTGCTAGGCATTGGACACACGGTGCTAAGACTTTAAGCCTAAGAATGGCATTTTTAAAAATGGAATTAGGTAGGCCATCTGTTCCATTAGTTTGCTATCTGTTTTTTAAATTCCTTTGAATTGTGATACTACACAAGAGAGTTCTGAAGTGTTGAGCAGTAATGGGAATATGGTTTGGATGCTTGTTCAAAGTGGTTTCTGGAGCAGCTGGTTTTGTATTGCTGGTGATGCCTCAGCTTTTGAAGTCCTACCTACCTCTTTGCTAACACTTTTGATGATGGGAAACTGCTGCGCTGGGTCTTGCATTCCTTCCCAATGAAGTCTTGTACCTGTTTTTATTAGGAGCTCTAGTCAACTATTCATAAGAGGAGAAACTGATGGGTTTCGAACAGTTACAGCAGCTGGAAGGAAAACAAAATGGACATGGTTCAGCCTTTAAGCTGAAGATGCAAATTGTCAATGATGAGCTAAGTTAAGCATGTGATCCAGTCAACCACCGTCCTTTAAGGTAACTGATAAGTGATGGGATGAAAGAGAAGAAATAAAGAAGAATGAATCCTGGCTTGCAAAAGCAGAAGTGACTGTGGTGGGGTCAGGAGAAGGGACTCTAGTTGGTTAACCTCAAGGTTAGGGTGGGTCAACTAGGCTGTGACAAGGATACACAAAACAGCAAGAAAAAATCAAGGGATTCCACAAAGGAGACATTGAAGGTGGGTTTGTTTGTTGATCTCCATTTGTATAACCTACCAGTTCCTTTCAGGTATTACAGCTTTCTGCAGTGTATTGTTTGGCCCTTAATACTCTTCAACTTTAGCTGACATTTAATTTTAATAATGTAGAAGGAGAAGTGTGGGCATCATGCTTGTATTTTCAGTGCATGCTAGTGAACAGTGTTACATCTAAATTCTTAGTTCTGAAAGTGTAAAATAGGGATGAGCAGTTAGTCTGCGTTAAGTGCTAATGGGTCTGAATCACACTGTGCAGCAGCCCCCATCCAGCATGTTAGGCATGAGGCTAGGACATGATCATGTGTGTGAGCCAGTGTCTCCCAATGGGGATTGTCCAAATGACTGCACGTGGTGGCTGTTTTTAGTAACTTTCAGGCTTTTCTAGGCTCTGGTACCAAAACTGCCTCTTACTACCAATGTTCTTGTCTCTTCTTTTTAGAATTGTGTTGGTCAGCTGCCTGTTTCTTTTTTGAAATAAATTGAGCAAGTCTTCAAAGAAAGGAAGGTGTATTCTCAAAGGCTTTCACAGCCAGGATCCGATGGTTATTGTGGGTTTTCCGGGCTTTTTGGCCGTGTTTGGTATTTGTTGAATTTCTGTTTTTGTCTGGCTGTGTAGTTCACAATTTCTTTTTCCATCTTTCTGTCGGGGAGGTATCGATCTTGTCCCAATCTTGACTTTGTATTTTTTGGCTGATATTGATGTGTAGGAATAGTAGTTCTTTGTCTGTGGAGTCCAGGTTTTTGCGGGTTGTGTGGATTCTTTCCCGTAGGAGGGCATGTTCCAGGTGATCATAGATATGGCTAGCCTGTGCGGAAACGAAGGTCCTTTTAGTCCTGAGGAAGGCTGGTATGGTTTTTGTGTCTCTGCAGCATAGTAAAAATGTTAAGGAACATAGTTGGTGTGCTCTTTTGCTTTGGAGTGTTTCCAGTCTCTGGGTCTGTCTGTTTCCTCCCTGTAGAGGCGTTCAATATATTCTCGACGGCTTTCACAGCCGAGATCCGATGGTTGTTGTGGGTTTTCTGGGCAGTATCCAAGCCAAACAGCCCAGAAAAACCACAACAATCAAATGGAGGTGTGTTTGCTTTATGTATCCACCAGAAGGGAAAATAGGTCCCTCCAAGTGTTTCAGTATTGAGCACCCTGTATCCTTAATGTAGTTGAACAGGGTCAGGTAAACAATAGTTCTTCACTCAGGCCTGAGCTTATGATGGCTTATGTAAGCAGCAGGATAACAATCATGAATTGTGAAATTTCACTGCTGAAATTGCTCAGCAATTTCATTACTGATTTCTGCTCAGCTGCCAGCAACAAGGGTGTGGGACTTATTTTTAGCACAGCATTTCTTTAGCCTTTCGTTTTGCAGATCACTCTCTTGGTAACTATCATGGGTTTTTTTTTAAACTAACTTATTTTCCCAGCCACCTGAGGGAGGGAAGGTTGTTTTGCTGTGTGTCCAAGAGCCATTTCAAGAAGAACAGAAGATACACTAATCTGTTTGCATTTGGAATACAGGATCACACCTTTCCTGCTTGGACCGGCATCCAGGGTCCTATTCAGCCAAGGTGTTGTCCTCTACAATCTATACAGAGACATCATACAAGGCTTTGTTTTCTTGATCCTAAATTCTGAGGCTGCACAATAGCATTTTTATAGCTATCAAAGACAAATGGGAATGAAGGAGACAAAATTAAATATTCAGTTCACTAGTATCTAACAATGGTGATCAGAAAATTGAGCATATGAGTACTTGCCGTATTTTTTTTTTTTAAAAAGACTTTTAACGTGTGTCTGTTCCTTGAAACTTGAAGAGATGGATTTGGATGTAGTCTTTTTGGTGTTTCTCCTTCAGAAGCACTATTTAGAAGTAAAAAAAAACCTCTGCTGATTTTGCAGTTAATGTCAGACCATTCTGTATAAGGTTTGCTGTCTGATCCTGCCTCACAGGCCTGTTGCATGGATAGGCTATATTTGCTATCCTTCTTTCTTGAAGAAAAGGCAAGATTTAAAATGCAATCGATAAATAGATAATGATGTGTGGATAGGTTGCTCTTGTCCAGTTTTGCGTGATCACAGCTGCATTTTTGTTTTGAAAATACTGTACAGGATGTATCTGAGATGGCATAGGTAGTTAAATAGTCCTTCATCAGCATCTTTTCCCCGGGAGTCAGAAGACAGATTTACTGTGCATTTGAAAAAATTGGGAAAATGTTTTTAAAAAGATAAAGGTGTTGTCTGCTCTTGCATTTTGGGATTTGAATTATCCACACTATTTGCACATCCTGCAGAATCAAGTGTTACAAATAAACTGTAGTATTTCCTGAGCATGTGTTTCAAATAACAGTAGTAACTTCTACTCAATTTATCTTGAGATAACAAGTAAACACAAATAATATTGAGATTAATTTTTCTTATAAAAATCCAATTATGTATGTCTACAAAGGCAGCTACTTTTAAATAAATAGTCATGCAGCGACATACCTTGTTTCTTAAACCCTGTTTGTTTCACCATTCTTACCAGTTGGAATGCATGCTGAACTGATTTGTGAGAGGAATCAATTAAGAAAGGGACTTCATCATTTGAAATGGGAAGAACAGAAAACATGGCTTTCAGGAAATGACTTTCCTTGAGAAGTAAAAGCTGCATTTTGTACTGCTTAGATTGGTTTATAACTTGGGTGTTCATTGTTTCATGTAACAGAAAAACTTTTACCTCAATAGTCCACAAAACAATTTGTTAGTCGTATATTAAACAGCATAACTTTTTTTCTCATATTTTTCAGGTCATAATTGTAACCACTATGTTGTCATCGTCTGGCATAGCTGTAAGTGTGACTTGACGTCTTGAAGACTGCATCCATGGCCATTGGATGATCTGATAAACCATGGAGCTGAAGGTATGGGTCGACGGAGTGCAAAGGATCGTTTGTGGTGTCACTGAAGTTACCACATGTCAGGAAGTTGTTATAGCGCTTGCTCAGGCTATTGGTAAGTGAAATGATGTTCTTGTGGCCAAGATCAACCATAGGATAATTAGTATCCATGGCAAGGGTCACTGTCAGTGCTTTCTCCCCATCAGGTTCGCGATGTTACCTAGCTGTGTAGCTTGTGCAGAAGTACAAAGGAAAAAAAAAGCTGTATTAAACAGATTTTTAAAAATCTAGAATAAATTGGATCAGCTGAAAGTTTAACATATTTGAAGCAAATTAATGGAAATTCAATGTTCTAATAGGCAAACAATCTGTGGAACGTGACAGGATGGGGAGTTTAAAAACACAAATACTGTAGGTGGTTTTGGTACTCTCTCTCTCTGTACACAGTGCATTCAACAAACACTGAGCTTATCCTGATACCTTTGCTACACTGCCCTTTTTAGTTTGCCCCAGGACAAACAGCCTATTTGCTCAGTCCTAGTCCAGGAACATCTGGGGACCCAAGGTGGGCAGCCACTGCTGTAAAAGATTTATGAACAGATGCAGTAGCTCAAGCTGTGTATCAGAGATGACAAGAATGTACTGGGAGTCCTCATTCATGCCCTGAGTATTGAGCTGTTCAGAATTCATGCAATGTAAAAGTTGTATAGGGAGTCAACATGAACAGTCCAGGCTAACTGTTCAAGCATCCCCACTTAGTCCCCCGCTGGAGACACCTCCTGCTGATTCACTAGTACTCTCTGCAATGAAGTGGGTTACGTTGTTTTTACAGCAGTTAAGATTTCACACAGTTAGTTTCACTGCTGAAGTTCAACAACTGCCTAGTAAGAACAGCTTAAAACCAGTTGGATGTGCATATTTCTAAGTTGTTTTTGTAGTTTGCTACTGAAATTCATTGGCAAAAGTGGGAAATTCCATAAAAACAGTTGTTCTGTACTTAGTGACATTTTCAAGAGGCATAAACACAGCACAGCAGTTAGTGTTAACAATGCCATATTGGGTATTTTTCTGGCACCACTGTACCCATCACAACATTGGTAACTCCATATTGTTTCTTAAGGAAGACAGCTGCCTGTTCTACAAAGATAGTCTTTTTTTTCTCCTTAGAAAAAAACAGTATACAGTGGTGCCTCGCACAACGATTGCTTCATACAACGATGAATTCACACAGCGATGGGTTTTTTTGAGGAATTTCCCCCATCGTTTAACGATGTTCTCTATGGGGGAATTTCACTTAACGATGTCCCTTTTTGCTCATTTAAAAGTGTCTTAAAATGTTTGAAACCTGTTTTAAATGCTTGGATTCCATAGTGCACCTTGTGAAACATGTGCAAACTTAATTTGGTTTTGTT